GTTGTTTGAGTGACAAAAGCAATTTTAACTTAAGTTCGGAGTAATAACACGCATATTAGTTAGAAAACAATTGTTAGATATTTTGAGTATTGCATATTTCTCATTTTCAAAATGGCCTTCTGTAGATCAGACTATTAAGGCTAAGGGCTATTTATATTATCAAACTTTTTACAACTGTTTATACTTTAAGGAAATCCATAACTTTTTTGACTAAAGTAATTTCATATAATAATAGTAATAATAATAATCCTTGCATTTGATATAGAGCCTTATCACGTCTTCAAGATATCTCAAAGTGCTTCACGTAATATACTGTAAAGTGAATTAGATGTATTTTATGGGCGAATATAAAATCAATTCACTTTACAGTATATTCTGTGAAGTGCTTGGAAATGTCTCAAAGACGTGATGAGGAGCTATATCAGATACAAGGATTATTATTATTCTTAATTCATTGTTTTCCTACTTTTACTTTTACTGAAGAGGGCTCCATTTGTGTGAGCCTTTGTGGAAGTTCAGTATGTGGGAACCGGGGCTCACACTTTCCTTTTGGAAAATGGAAATGTCCTTCTGGACATCCCAGCCGACTCAGTAATTGCAAAGCTAATCAAACCAAATCAATCCTTTGAAGAAAAATGAAAGAGTACTTTAAAAATAATAAATACTAGCTGTTTTGAAGAGACTCCTTTACAGTGAAGGAGATATGGATGTGAATTAACAATGGACTAAAGGGTATTAAACCAAGAACATGTTACCAAGAAGGATGGCTGGCTAAAGACTCATTCAAGAAATTGTTTGTGATGCTGTAATGGGAAGATACTGGGATTTGTATTCCAGAATGATGAGATCAATCAGAAAATGGGTCGAATCCACTCAAGAATTTTGAGATGACTTGGCTTGTCTTGGTTCCATCAGTAAGTTAGGACGTCTTATTAGTACATCTAATAGCTGTTGCCGAGTGGCCTTCTTCATCTATTGTGATCTTGTGAAATCGAGTATCTAACACTCCCCGCCCCCCCTCCCCCACCTGTTTGCAATATATTACTATCATTGATTTAAAAATTATTTGAAGCTTTGTGATGTCCTATTGCCATCCGTTCACCTACAAATATACAGTTACTTGACTATGTTGTGAAGCGCCTTGAGATGCTTTGAAGACGTAAAGTGCTATATCGAATACAAGCATTACTATGATGATGATTATTGGAGACTTCTGCATAATTATTCACTGGGTGGTGTTGTAAGTGAATTACAATGTTCTGTTGGAGTGCAGTACAGGCAACCATAACCTCATTTTTTTCTGTACATTTTTGTCAAGGAATGGTGCATATGTCTGAGCTAGCAAATGATGCATTCAGCATAGATTGAAAGATGTCTCAACTGCTAGAAGAGTCCCTGTGTTAGCTGTTAGAAGTACCAATAAGACATCCTAACTGACAGATGGAACCAAGGCAAGCCAAGCCATTTCTCAAAATTGTTGAATGGATTCCAGTGGGTTCTGATATTCAAAGTAAATCTCTCTCTTCTTGGTGCTTGTAACAGCCATTTTAAATCTAATAAATATATATTAAGTTAGAAACCAATGGTGCTCTTAGTTTCATTTCAGGGGGGTGGGGGAGAGGGGACGAGAGGATGGGAAATGCATATAGAACCAAAAGAATCAGGAGATGTTTAAGAAATGTAAAACAGCAGTAACATGCCTTGGGCACATGACTTTGGTTCAAGGCTGAATGTGTGGTTTAGGATAAAATATACAGTGATAGAAAAATTTCAAGAGAATGTGGGGCCTCACTCAGTATGTTTCAAGTCCTCTCTTGCTATATTTAGTAGTTGCCGCTGAAACTCTGGTCCATGCCTTTGTCACCTCTCGGCTTGACTACTCTAATGCCCTCCTCGCCGGTCTCCCATCCACTACCATCCATAAAATCCAAATCATTCAAAACTCTGCCGCCCGCATTCTCACCCGCACGAAACTCCGCTCCCCGATCACCCCTGTCCTTGCCAGACTGCACTGGCTGCCTGTCCCAGAGAGGATCGATTTCAAGATCCTCACCCTTGTATTCAAGTCCCTGCACTCTGCAACCCCCCTACCTCTCTGACCTCTCTCCTCAAAACAGTACCCGTTGCCGTCGTTCCTCCGGGTCTGGCCTCCTCCTCATCCCCCGGGTCTGGCCTCCTCCTCATCCCCCGAGTCCTCCGCTCCACCCTCGGCGGCCGTGCCTTCAGCCACTATGCTCCAATGCTCTGTAACTCCCTTCCTTACTCCCTCCGCCTCGCTCCCTCCCTTCCTATTTTCAGGTCTCTGCTGAAGACCTTTCTTTTCGACTGCGCCTTTGGTCAGCTTCCTCCCCCTCCCCCTGGCTCGGTCCCGGGATCTGTTACTGTGAAGCGCTCTGAGACGCCGTCCGGCGTGGAGGACGCTATATAAATCCAAGTTGTTGTTGTTGTTCTTGTTGGCATCCACAAATGCTTCCTAAAGTTGTGCATTCCCATGTTTATATTTAACATACCTTTATGAAATCTCCATTAGAGGGAACATCAATCTAAAATCTTACCAGCTGCACTCAGACACCCTAATTCTGGGTCTCCCAAATTTAGTTATGCTCATTGCTGACCAGAACTAAAAAAACTGGTGACATTTTTAAAAGTTGTCTACATTGTTCCTTTCTCTTTCCTTGTGCATCTTTGCTTTCTTGGAATCGAAATTTCGTAACCTTTTCTGGAATCCTGGGAATGTCTCTTCAGTTATTCCCAGTCACTGTTGCCCTCTGGGAGTGAATATTTCCTTTACTCGGCTCTATAAGGAGCTGCTACTGATTTGGCATTTTGCCTCCTGATTTGACCACCGGTTTATTGTCAATCTAACTGTGTTTACATTTTAAAATAAGTCCCTAAAGTGTTTAACAATAGCAATGAATAATTCTTGCATCTGATATAGAGCCTCTCATGTCAGGAGAATTCCTTGGTATGCTTCACAGGATTTACGGAGAGTGAATATGCATTTTGTTTGAGATGAGATGGAGCTGGGTGTTTTTTCAGGGACCAGTGGGATGAATATTGTGGAATATTTCTTCAGAATGCCATACAAGGCACAAGCCCAATACTATAAATTTGTCTTTTTAACAGAAAATCTGCAATGGGTCTTTGGTGACTGCCAGAAAATATCTTTGTTGCATTCCCTTTTCCTATGCTTCGATTTAATATTCTGCTAAATTCAAAGAACTCTCATTGGAATAAGTTCATAGAAATTTGAGTTCAAAATGAGTCTTTTGTGATTATCTGTGTCAGCATATCTCTTACTGTACTTCAAAGTAGATTGTAGGCTAACTGACTTGGAAGTTTACACTATTTTTTCTGCTGCCGAAGCAGTGGGAATTGACTTTCACCATAACAATGGAATCATGAAAGAATTGTGTTATAAGTTGTGTTCACACCGAGATTCGAGGTCGACTTTTTAATACATCTTCACCTGCCTTTGCACCTTTTGAGATCTCTGCACCATTTCCCCAAGGGATGGCAGCTGGCTTGCTCCCAGGCCATTGTCAGCGCTCATTGCAGCAAATGAAAGTGAGACTCGCAACTTAGGTTCAGTTTTTTTTTTAAAAATTATCTTTTTTTACTTTGTTTTTGGTGTTGGTGTGTTGCATTGTCGGACGTGCCGTCCTTTGGATGAGATGTAGAACTGAGGTCCTGTTTAGGTGGACGATAAAGATCCCCTTGCACTATTCAAAAACGTAAGGTAGTTTCTCCCCATGTTCTGGCTAACAAGCCCACAAATAAAATTGGTCACTGACTCCATAGCTGTTTGTGGGGCATTGCTGTGCATAACTGGCTGCCGTGTTCGCCCACAAAATACACACTTTACAGTAAATCCTGTGAAGAGCTTTAAGACATCTTGACGACATTAGGAGCTGCATCAAGGATTATTATTATTACTTTATTCTCCACTAGGGTGCAGTTCAAAGTGCCCCAAGTAATTCTCCCTCCCCCCACCCATACTTTTGTTCATTTGTGTGGCTTGATAGTAAGTGTTGACAATCTATTCAACATCACAGTTGAGCTTGTTCCCATTTTCAACTGATATCTGAACCCACCTAGCAAGGGTCTCTGGATAATCATTGGGAAGAGGAACCTGGCTGATTTATTTTGTTTGTTTTCCTTACCCAGGAACACTAAGGTCATTTATAGCTTATCTTCGGCCTGGCTAAGATCAACTAACTCAGCGCTAGGTGGGATTTGAATCTGCAAACTTCTTGTTTTATTGGCCTAGTCCTGCACTGGGTGATGGACTCACTGAGCCACTAGAGGAGAACCTGACTTCCACTTTCAGCAAAACCAATTCCCAACTCCTGTCTTGCTGTAGGGAAACACTGAATCTACTGAGCAGTTCCTCAAATAGCACAGTGAGGTCAGTGATTTCAGTGACTTCATGCCAATTAGGACTGTCATCTTCCCCATTAATGTGCTCAGTTCAGAGGAGCACCAGTGTGCTCCGCTATTTCTCAGTAGTAGAGAGATTTTGTGAAGGGCTTTGCCCATTTTCCCCAGTGTTATCATTCAAAATACAAGCTTGGGCTCTTCAGCCTTAAGACATGATGTGTCACAGTGGACCCTATAGAGGTGCATTAGATTGTAAAAGGGATTCAAAAAGTGAACCCAGAAAAATACTTCAGGATGCATCAAGACAGTAGAACATGGGGACAGAGGTTTAGAATTCCAAAGGGCAATTTCAGGATGGACACCAAAAAATTGTTCTTTACTCAGTGGATAATCAACAACTGGACCAGGTCAACAAGGACAGTAGTTGAGGCCAGGAGACAGAATTCATTTTATAAGCAGCTTGATGTTGTGATGGGAAGATGGTAGGGTGGATATGCTGGAGGGATAATATCTGATGAGCCAAAGATCTTGTTCGTCCAAACCAGTCTTGTGAATAAAATATTCATGTTTGCACAAAAGCTGTTGTAAATTGACATTTTTTGTAATGGATCCATTTTCAGAATAACTTTCAACCATGACGACAGAACCGGACTCAGACCCTGAATCAAAACAGGACCAAGAACACAAGGAAACCGCTGACAAGAAAGAGGCAGCGGCAGAACAGCAGGAGCAGCAGCAGGCGGCTGCAGATACTGAACAAGCGGACGGTGTGGACAGGATCCCTGCAGCATTGAGCAGCCCTGAGAAGAAGAAGCAGGTATCTCACTCGATCCCACAGTTCCTTACTGAAGGGGACGAACAGGAGTCAGAAAATTGTCTATTTTCTTTGATGCTGATGTTGTGGAATTTGCAATACAGGTCACAATTCAGATTAAGAGCGAGAAAGAGAGAAATTATATTTTTATAGTGCCCTATCAATTGGAAATGTCTCAGAGCGCTTCCGAAGTATTGACACATCTGCACCCCACACTGCAGCCCCTTCCACCAGGAAGGTTTGTAACCCTGCAGGTTCTGCCCATGGGTGGGGAAGAGGGGAAGGTGAGATAAGCTGTCTGTGATTCCCAGGATGTTGTGGTAATATTAGGCAAAGAGCCAGCAATGATTTGATCTCTTAAACACGTTGTGGTCTGATTCACCAAACGAAACAATCTCACTAAACCCTTCAGTATTGGCTACCAGCCATCAAAACACTGACTTTGCTCTCCCAAAGCAGAGGTGAGAGATTCATGTTAGCATATGGCTTCATCTTAAACTGGGTTAGTTAATATTGCTTAGAGGTTCAGGGCTTCTCTGGTGTGTCTCCTTCTTGATGTGATTCATCGTCTGCTTCTACTAGAAAAAATCAGGATAAAAGTCATTCATCAAGTCCTGGATGAGAGATAACTTTCTTCAGTTGAACGTCAACAAGACCGAGGCTCTCCTGATTGGCTCCTGTCAGCGCCTCCTCACCTCAGGCACTGATAGCATCACCATCCATGGATGCACACTCCACCTCACTGAGCCAGTCCGGAACCTTGGGGTCTTGTTTGACCCTCAACTATCCTTTCTACCCCACATCTGTGCCATGACCCGCTCTGCCTTCCCCCACCTCCGCAACATCGCCCGGATCGGCCACTGTCTCACACCTCAGGCCACTAAAACTCTCACGCATGCTTTCATTACATTGAGGCTGACTATCCAAACTCCTTGCTTGTCAGCCTCCCCAACTCCTCCCTCCATAGGTTGCAGATCATCCAGAATTCTGCAGCCCGTGTCCTCTTCTGCACCAGACTCTGTGACTCTATCACCTCCATCCTCGCCCGATTCCACTGGCTTCCCATCACAGAGAGGATACAGTTCAAGATCCTAGTCCTCACCTTCAAAGCCCTCCATGGTCTTGCTCCCCCCTACCTCTGCGACCTCCTAATCCCCTACTATCCTGCTCGCTCGCTCAATGGGCTTCAGCCTGCTTCATATCTCCCACCTCGCTCGCCCCACTATTGGCGGGCGGGCCTTTTGCCACTCTGCTCCCACCCTCTAAAACTCCATCCCGCAGTCCCTCCGCGTCGCCCCTTCTCTTGCCTCCTTCAAGACCCATCTCAAGACCCTCCTCTTCGACCGTGTTTTCGATCACCCCGCTTTCCTGCCCCTGCCCTCCACCCTCCCCGACCCTGACCCCCAGCTCGGGTCTGAAACTGACTGTTCAGTGCCTTGGGACATCCTCCCGATGTGAAACGCATTATATAAATTATATTATATTGTTGTTGTCTGTTTGTGGGACATTGCTGCATTCACTTACAAAATACAGCCAAAGTACATTACAGTGAATCCTATGAAGCTCTTTAAGACATCCTCCTGACATGAAAGGTGTCGTGACTGTATTTAGCAAGCTATTATTATTATAACATATCACATTCTCAAAATATCTGCAGGGTTTTTACTGTAAAGGCCGTGTGTTTGTAGGCAAATGATTCCACAGCAGCATTCTTGGAAAGGGTTAATTCTTCTCCGTAGCCTCCCCTCCTTTCCAGACAGCCATCTGAGCTCTTTACTTGTGTAGGAGTTATGCCCTGCAGAGAGAGACCACAGTATGAACAAATCATTGCTGATAGCATCAGAACTAGCACATGCACTATCTATTCAATGCCAAAGTCTCGGCAATGTATACATGGGAGCTTGCCAGCCATGCAGCAAGTCAGCCTTTTGCTGCATTGTTGGCTGCTGTCTTCACTGCGCAATCCCCTTATTCGTTCTTGGCTGTGCTCCTCAATGCAGGTTAAATGTTTCCAAGTTGCCCCTCCTCTTGCAAAAAGAATCCCAGTTACACATACAGAAGTGCAGCCTACCTAATATGTTTTGCGTACTTTAGCACCTCCTCCAAGTCATTCGATCTCCCGCATCACCGTCTGGGAGGTGAACACATAAGAATGGCTGGTCTGCAAAGGTCGGAATATCTGTAACTCGCCCAGCAGTTGAAGAGTTAAAATGCTTTCACAAGACTGGTGTAGAATTTTTAGCTTGCCTTGTAGGCATCATTAATTCATCTCATCATTAAAATAGATACTTGAAAGATTTATTGTTGAAAAACACTGATGCTAAAAGCTCACCAGTGACCTCGCCTTGATAGGTAAATGTACAACCAGGTGTAGCATTGAACTGTGTAAACCAGACTCCTGAGCCATTCATTTCCACTCTTTTCGGCTGTCGATAGTGCAATTCAGTTACTGTTGTTGCCTACATAAAAAAACAGTCCCTGCACTTCAAAGTAACGTTGTGTGAAACACTGAGACGTATTAACCTGTTCAGGCATTGTGTGGGGGAAAAAAAGCAAAGGAAGGTTGCAGGTGGAATGCCGTCTGTTGTAAGTTAGCTGTCCTTAGCTGGGGCAAGTTTGGATGTTACAGTTGGCCTTGTACCCCTGGATTACAAAGGTCAACCAGGAGAAAATTGGTGAGAGAATTAAATAAAATCCTGATTTGAAGAGCAATCTTGTGTTTGAAATCTTAACATTCCCACACGTACCACAAGTCAGAAGGATCCACATGTAATATCAGAATGCCCCAAATTTCTCCACAACAAGTGTTACTGTGAGTCCTGTAGTTAACTATTTCAGAATGCTGGACAGTGTACCAGTACTTTACGGTGAAGGAAGATACCTTCCTAATTAATTGCGTCACTGGGTTTGCACTTGGCGGAACTGTTTTCTATATTAAAACTGCCGGTTCAGAAAGATGTTGTGTACAGAGGTGTTCGCTGCTCTGATGCTTGGAAGTTCCGCCACAGGGAATAGCGAGTTGTGAGTTGGAATCCCCATCCACAAGCCGAACAGAGCAGATTCTACTTGTACTCAGCAGGAAGAACTTGGAACAATGGAACTGCTCCCGGCTGTCTTCAGCAGCTTTAAACAATAAAACACATGGCAACATAGACTAAGCAGCAAGTGTGTAGTTATCTTCTCTTGTAACATTTAGGATTATCCAAGTTCACGGTGGAATACTATTTACCTCTAAGCAGTCTAAATACTTTCGGATTATCGCTTTGTTGTTTTACCCTTAGCTTGTGATTGTTTGTACGAGCTAACCAATTGATCATTTCAGGAGATTGGTGACCGAGAGAAAGAGGCAGACGGGGCTTCTGTTAAAGTTGCTGAAGAACAGCAGGAAGAGCATCTGGCTGAAGACGACAAACTCTCCCAAAAATCCTCTTCCAGCAAATTATCCAAATCTCCTCTGAAAGGGGTAAAAAAACTGAAGACCATGCTGTGCAAAGTAACTCTCCTGGATTCCTCTGAACATACGTGTGAGGTTGAGGTAAGGAGTGTGCTTTGTTGCAACCTGGTATGAATTTTTTTTGGAGCATCTAAATCCTGTGGGATTGTATCGACTGTGCAGAATGGAAACAGATCATTCGGCCCAACAAGTCCATGCCAGCGTTTATACTCCATGTGAGCCTCTGCCCCTTCTGATCGCCTCTCTCTCCATTCTCTTCTCCCTTTTGAATGCAAATCTACTTGTTCAAAAATTATTTTTGGAACAAACTGAAGAGAATTTCTAGGACAACTGTCACATTAAAAATGCACTATCAATTTATAATCTAAATTAAAGCATGTGCAAACAACTTGCATTTATATTGCATCTTTCACGTAAAATTATGTGAAAGATTATAATCCTTGTATTTGATATAGCGCCTTATCACATCTTCTTGATAATACATAAATGCTGATAATTGAAATACAAATGTCCCAAAGCACTTTTCAGAAGGAAACATGGCAGCAAATTTACACTCACAAGTTCCTACAACCCAATTGCCAGTTAATGAGGAGAAAATATCAGGCAGAATAAGCTGAAGAAATGCTCAATATGAAGAAGGGGGTTTGGGAGAATCTCATAATAATAATAATAATAATCCTTGCATTTGATATAGCGCTTTTCACGTCAGGAGGATGTCCCAAAGCGCTTCACAGAACACACTGTAAAGTGAATTGACTGTATATTTGTGGGCGAACGGGGCAGCCAATTGCGCACAGCAGTGTCCCACAAACAGTCGTAGATTGAAAATGACCAATTTTTATTGTTTTGGGTTTTTGGAGGGATTATTATTAGGCGTGTGGAGTAAGGAAACTTGCCCAAGGTTTCGCCCTGTCTGGAATTGAACTCAGGTCTCTCGCTTGCAAAGCGAGTGCTCTAATCACTGAGCTACAGGACTCATAATGTCAACCTCATGTTGAACCAAGGTCCTATCTACCTGTTCAGGTGGATGTTAAACATCCCATGGCACTATCTGAAAAGAGAATGAAGTTTCTCCCGGTGTCCTGACCGATAATCCCTCAAATAAAATTGCTTATTCACTTGAAAGCTGTTCGATTGACATTGTTGTGTGCAAATAGCTGTTGCGTTCGCCAACAAAATACAGTCACTGCACTTTACAATGATTCCTATGAAGCACTGTCAGACTTTTGACAAGATGATATGGTGGTATGTCAAAGGCAAGGATTGTTATTATTTGCCCTTTAAAGATTCACATTGTAGTTGTGAAGTGCTGTCAGCATTGATTTGGAATTTTGTTGTGTTCTAGGTAAGTTGGTGACAGCTGGTGTTTTAAGGGGCACTGTAAAATGGTAACTCTCTTGCTGAACGTGAAATAGAGATTGAATCTTTTTATAATCGCCTCATATTTATAAATTTGATGGAAACCCTTTTTGAAAAAATGGAATCAACAGCTGCCCAAATTAGGTACTTTGACAGGATATGTTAAGTGCCTCTCAGATCTGAATCAAATGCCCTCCTCAGTAGTGAAGGTTTTCTTTTTATGCAACATCAGTATGAATGTGAGCAAAATTCACAAAATCCCTGTGAAATTCTCTTTCAAGTCTCGATTGGCAGCAGAGTCTTGCATCAATTGCTCAACCTGAGAGACCCTTTCCTTTGTAAGAGATAGAAAATGTCTCTTTCAATCACCCAACATCACTGAGAAATAGAAACTGAGAAAATTTTACAGCTTGTGTGTGTTTAAACTCCATGAGCCTCAATCTCTCCTAATCGCCTCTCCTATACCCCTTTATTCCATTCTCCCTCATGTATCCAGCGCCTTGGGATGTCCTCCCGATGTGAAAGACTCTATACAACTATAATTTTGTTGCTGTTGTTGTTGTATGCATCATGTAACCTCTCGAATACTTTGATGCGATTTACTTGAACCACATTTTCCAGCAGTCATCTGCTGCATAAAGAAATGTCTCTTAAACTCCCATTTAGATTTGCTACTGACTATCTTATGTTTATGCTCTTCAGTCTGAACTCACCAACAATTGAAAACAGCCTATCAATGTCCATACTATCGAATCCTTTCATAATCTTAAACACCTCTATTAGGCCTCCTCTCAATCCACTTATCTCCAGAGAGAAAAGCTCTAACAATCTTTCTTGCTAGCTGTACCCACTCATTCCTGTTAACCTTTCTGTAAATCTATCCTGTGCATCGCCTGTTGAACAATATACTTCCTGTAGAATGGCATCCAGCACGGTACACAGTTCTCCAAACTTAGTCTAGACAATGGTTTCTACCAATTTAAATCGAGACTGTCTGGTCCGAGTTTATGCTTTAAGTTGCATGATTTGCTAAACATGATTATGATCAGAGGGATAGCAAAATTTATTTTGTTTTCCAACCTTTTTCAGGCCTGTATTTGGTTGCTTGTGGCCGTGGCTGTTGTTTCGGTTGGATTCTGATTCTAAGCTGGCAACAGGATCAGACAGTACGAACGGTTGGAAAACAAAATGGTCTTTTGACATTTTGTTTTAGCAAGTTAGGTGTCACAATGAAATCATCGATTCCAGTTTGCGACTATTGCATTTCAAACCCCTTTGTTTAGAAAAATCTGAAATACCATTTTAAACATCTCAAATATATTTTAAATGTACTCCGAAGATTGATGTGCCCTTCCTATCTTGACTGTCATGCAAGCTTATTTTGGGGGCTGGCTGGGTGTCTGATTCACATGGAAACTCTCTGCTCTTCTGGAGTTTCCCTTTCCAGCTTGTTGACTGCTCGTAACAACAACAACTTGCATTTATACAGTGCCCTTCATGCAGGGCGCAAGCAGCAGTTTCTGTTTGCCTGTTCAGGAGCCAGCGATCTCTTCTTCAGAAGGTGATGCACCTTGCCCAACTATGCTTGGAGAACATAGTTACAGGTTGCCAGAAGCCAAGCAATTAGGGTCACCAAATTGCAAATTATTTTGCTGCTGGAATTGAACCAATTAATCTTAGACAAACCATCGGAATGGGGCATGAGTAAGCATCTTGTTGCTCGTACACCCTTCCATATGGACATTGACTTGCAGCCTTAAGGCTTTCTCCAAAGTTCATTGAAACAAATTTCAGCTAATTTCTTACTGTTCTCTTCCGGTTTTAATCTCCCCCCACCCCTGGTGTCCCATTTCCCTTCCTCTCCCCTGTGTTGCCCATCTGCTTTGTCAAAAAACTCCAGCAAATGGTCAGACCTCTGACTTGTTTACTCCTCACGCTACTATACCCTGCAATATTGTGTTCCACTCAAACTGACCTGAGTGAAATTTGAGAGGCATGTAAGGTCTGGACTCAAACTCGTGACCTGCTGGCTGGGAGTCGAGCACTCAGCTAGTGGAGCTGTTGGAGTGCCCAGGACTTCAGCCAATTCTATTAGCAACTTGGCAGGGATTCCAAGCCTCTGTTATGTCTAATTGAATGAGCCTCGTCAGCTTTCCAGAGCAGAAAATTAAACCTTTGTAAATGTCAAGTTACTTTGGATATTTGTTGCATGGTAATCTATGTTGTCTCACTGATTAAGGTCTAACTGTGTTTCTTGCACATAAAATGCAAAAAAAAAGCTTCATTAAGTTTTTGAGATACTTTAAAAATATATATTTTGGTCTGCAAGTCTTTGTGCCCCACCACCACTGTATAACAATATAAGTTAAAAAGGAAGCATTTTATTTTAAGGTTTTTTCATTTTCTAAATCCGATAATTTGACAATCTTCTGGAGGAAGGAGGCATTTGAGCACTGCATTTGTTTCTCTCAGTGTCGTGTAGTGTGTAAACCGTTCAATCAGAAAGGCTGGATGGATAAATGTGATGGAATTTCTGAAAGCATTTGAGAGAGCACAGCATACCAGAAGGATGCTAAAGCTTTAGGAAGATTATATGCGCATAATGTGAATAAAAGCATGAATACGATGGCATCTGAGTAATAATCTTCTAATCAATTTTTGTATATTTTATTCAGATGAATACTTTAGAGGAATATTTAACCTCACTGAATTAATCTCTAATGGAGCAGATGTAATTGCTGTTCGACTGGCTGGTTCCACAGTTGTGTGATGATGAAGAGGTCTGATGACGTAATGCTGAGGTTGTTTCTGTGGCATTTGGACTTTATTGGGTCTTTATTGTGCATTGGAGTAGGTAGTCCACTGAGCGTTGGTCTGAGAACATGAGGATTTGAGTTTATGTAAGGAATGAGATGGGAATTTGTGAAATGGCCAAACCGTGATCATCAGGACTTCTACATAGAGTGGTCTTTCTGCCTTTTCATGGTGACATTTCTCTTTCTCATCTAAAATATATCTTCATGCTGCAATGGGCTGACCTCGACCTTATTGACAAGAATGACAATAAATGGGTCGAACGGCCTTCTTCATCTTTGTATCATTTATGATCTTTGGGGGGGTGGTGATGGAGGTAAAATGATACTGTTATACTCTCTCCCCAGAAAATGTTTGAATTATGGGTCTTTTTAAAACAAAAGTTCAGAGCATAGAAGAAGGCCATTCATTCTGTCATGTCTGTGCCTGTCCTAGCCCCCCCGCCCCCATGGGATTATATAATCTAACTTCATTCCCGTGTTCTTTTTCTCCTCCAGTATTTAATATCCTCCGATTCACCATTCAACTGAACCACGTTTAGACTAGAAGGAATTTAGAATATATGGAACCAACAAGTACAGGTTTTAGTACCTAGAACTTTAGAAATTTACAGCACAAAAGTCCCATCGTTTTGTGCCAAATGCCTCAAGAGCAATCCTTTCAGTCCCATTTACCTGCCTTTTCGCCATATCCATGTACCCGACTCTTTTTAAGGTATTTGTCTATTTCCGTTTTGAAGACTAATGTGCTTCAACTATTGTTACTGGCAGGACAGTCCATATCCTATCTACTCTGTGCATGAACCTTTATTCCCCCCCTAGACTCCCCCATTCTTACTTAATAAAAGAACTGCATCAGGAACCAACCAATTTACAATAGTCATCACTTACCTTAAAAAGGGTAAGCCC